TACATCACAAGATTATCAAACATACATCACAAGATTTCGAATATACATCACAAGATTTCGAACATACATCACAAGATTATAGAATATACATCACAAGATTTCGAATATACATCACAAGATATTGAATATACATCACAAGATTTTGAACATACATCACAAGATATTGAATATACATCACAAGATTATAGAATATACATCACAAGATTTCGAATATACATCACAAGATTTCGAACATACATCACAAGATTATAGAATATACATCACAAGATTTCGAATATACATCACAAGATATCGAACATACATCTCAAGATTTCGAATATACATCACAAGATTATCAAACATACATCACAAGATTTCGAATATACATCACAAGATTTCGAACATACATCACAAGATTATAGAATATACATCACAAGTTTAAGAATATACATCACAAGATATTGAATATACATCACAAGATTTTGAACATACATCACAAGATCTTGAATATACATCACAAGATTTCGAACATACATCACAAGATTTTGAATATACATCACAAGATTTTGAATATACATCACAAGATTTCGAACATACATCACAAGATTTTGAATATACATCACAAGATTTTGAATATACATCACAAGATTTCGAACATACATCACAAGATTTTGAATATACATCACAAGATTATCGAATATTGCAACGTTTGACATGCCATAAGCATCCCTTTGCAAAGAACTTATCTGTGAATCAAGGAGTCATTCAACACAGATCCCTATGCAAATGACGTCATTTCTGTTCATACATTTATATTTTCAAATTTTGTTTCCAGAGCATGTTCTCAAGGTCATTTTCCGCTCGTTCGGGAACATGTGGGAAGGACGTTGCTTATCTCTTAGCCAATACATTAAGTTTTCTTGTGAAGTGGTACCAGATAGCATTAAATAAAACACATGAATAAGTGAAATCAGAGATTTTTAAACTATTAAGCTGTGATACACTGTGATACACTAGATACAATATATCCATTGCTTTGATAATCATTGGAAGAAATTAAATTGAAATTTGCATTTGCGTATATATCCTCACTTCCTTGCTTGCTTTACGACCGGTTGTACCAATTAAAGAGTTAATCTCTCTTATCAAATTTCCAAAGAGGTAATTACCTCCACAAAAGAAAAAGAGAGTTCAATACCCATGCTTTTTTTTCATATTTTGAGTCATTTTTAAGTTTTTAAAAGGAATTGTAACAAACCAAACGCCGACACATAAAAAGTTAAAATCGATAGTTTTTCAACTGCTATCTAGAGTCGCAAAGTAAAGAGTTGATCCTTACGGCACGGGTTCAAAGCCCACATTGGGAAGTGGAGAACGGTCCTTCTGATGAGACTGCATAAACCGAGATCCCATGTCGCAGTAGGTGCTTGTACGAAAAAGATCCCTCCCTGCTCAATGGCAGTAAGTGCCGATTATCGGATAAAATTTGCAGCTCTCTACCGTGGTCGCGTTTCCATACCAGTGAAAAATCTAGAGAGACGTTAAACAACACTCAAACAAACAACAAATAAACAAAGAATACTCTTTATTTACAGCACTTTATAAAGTTAAAAAAGAGATAAGAAAGTCTTTTGATATGCGTAAAAATATTTTGTGGGACTTCACGATTAATGCACTTCCTAAAGTAAATGGTTTGCATGCTCTTTGGTATGAGTGCAACAAATATGTCAGATTATTTGCTGAATAAATATATATGCTAAGAATGTTTCTCGTTGACCTTAATTGATTACAGTGTTTGGAAAATATATGCTATGAAATATACAAAAAATTTGAAAACTAATAAATTGTATGAAGAAAACGAACAGTATTCAAGCTCAAAAGTCAAAACATACAAATCAGGAGCAGAGGAAACACAGACGTCTTACACATCAGAGGTGGGATCAGGTGCCGTTGAAGAGTGAGCATCCCCTGCAAACTGGTCACCACCGCCGTGTGCTCCTTGTCATGATCGGGAAATAACGGGAAAACATCCGTCCTCAATTCAGTGTGTTAATAATGGACTAATAATTGGTATGAAAAACGTCAGTCAGCATTTGACTAACTGACAAACTGTATTTGGTGACAAGGTCATTGTTTCGACCATAGAGATTACGAAATGATGACTTTAAACGAAACTGTTGACATGCTTGTTTCATCAACTTGTTTGTCAATAAATTACCTCGTTTTAGAAACTGTTCATACGTAGAGCATACTCTTGCGTATCGTATCAACTGAGAGATATAAACAATATTATCACAGATAATTCAATTTATGTCGCTATGAGAAATATATTATATTTTACACCTTAGGATAATTTCGCATATCCCTGCGCAGTCCGCAAGATATGCGCCTCTATCGCAGCGCGATTATCTTCTGCATTATGCAGTATGCAAATCTGAGAAAATAAAATAAACAGAGAGCAATTGTTTATCTGCACAAAATGTGTCAAGGGGGTTATCGGTCAATTAACCTGTCCGCTGATCTACACATGTTTGCTTTTTTATGAATCTGTGTTCGAGGTCAATCGGTCACCACAGGATGTCAGCTGCAGTATCCTGGATTGTACTCTGGCCTCACCAGGGGTTCTCGGGGAGTCTCTCCTATCCTCTCTGATCCTGGCTCCGGATGGAGTCCACCTGTAGTAAACTCCATTCACTGTCCAGCCTGTGAGGAATGTTCTTTTGCTTGTGCATTTTATCATCTTTTCAGAGAGATAAGACCAGTACACCAGTTTATGTTCTATATTATTATTATATTGCCTTAATTAAATTATGCTCAGCTCAGGGCTATATAAAGAGTTGTGTACTGTTCCTTACAATACCTTGCATATCCAGTTAACAATTTACAGAATGTTTAACACAATTTTTCTAATGATGCGAAGATATCAATGAAGTTGATAATCATTTTTTGCAGCATTAGAAAAAGGGAACATTTGGTAAATGCCATATATCTGAAGACATGTTAAGTTTATTTACTAGTTGCCTTACATATAATTCTTAAGGGGCATTATACCTGTAAGGAAGACTCAGCAATGTTTAATATATTTTTATGTTCAGCAAAATCCTTATTAGTGGTTTTTGAAACATTCAATATATCATTAGGCGGAAGCCGCCTATTACATTTGCTTTGTTGACCTTTCGACCTCTCAAGATGTTTGCCTCGTTTCATGGTACTCCAAATGGATGTATCTTAAACTAAGGGCAGACAACCCGCTAAATCATATTCGACCCCCTTCCCAATCTTTATCGTTATTATCTTATCAAAAAGCGTGTGTTATGGCGAATTTATTTTAACAATTTATTTTGATTAATGTAAAAAAGTCCAATAAAAACAATAGCCTAATAATAGAACGAATAGTTATTTTAGTACTCCTGAGAACGAAAACACATACGATAAACAAATCGGGTTCAACATTTGATTAGCACGGGGTCCTGAGGCGATCTTTAGAAATACTACGAGGGACAAAATAGTTCAAGTAGGTAATTATGTTTCAGAATTAATGACAGGTACATAGCTACTGAGGAACTAATCTTTTCAATAATCTTGTAAAAAATAGAGGTATGTAACTCCTTTTATCAATTGTTTATTTATATGTATGTACTACATTAGCGTAATAATCTAACACAACACGATTCAGCGTGAAATTACTGTCAACAAACCCACGTGGAGCACAAATGATTTACAATGGTTGAATGGAAGTGACAGGCCTTCTCTTCAAAATAAGCAAGGTAACGCACGCTGTGTGATTAGCCTATGTTTTATTATCACCTTTATCTTTTATTGTTTTAACTTGAAAATGTTGCCTCCCTATGCAGGCATGTTTTAGCTATCGTAATATGATAGCTGTTATGGTCGGCTCTTATCGAACGAACTGGTACTCTTTAATTACCATGATTATATGCCGGGGAGAAATTATTTGAGGAATTATCATGCCGAGTTTGTGTATACATTTATATATATATCCTTTCTCATTTAATGTAAATACATGTGTGTTGAAGGATGGGCCAACATTGTAAAATTTGGACAGAAATTAAGACGCAAGCATAAAAACTACATTGTATTTTAGTCTGAATAGATGTGTCCCTACGGAGGCAGCTAACAGAAAGTGGGATATAATTAAGATTGAATTGTGAATTTGCTCTGTGTCACCTCTAAATGGCAGAAGAAAATTCAACTAAGCACAACCAGAAACACTTTTCTGAAGGTGAGTACATCAATTTATTATATTTCTTGTGGAAAAATTTTTCATAAGTTATGATACATATTTTTGATAGCATAACAAAATTAATGTTCTTGTTATGATGGCAAAAATGAACCGAATACTATTTTTGAAAGTATATTTTGACATTTCTTATTTTTGTTGACTTGGGTATTTTCTTTTCATTTTTTTTAAATACATGCTAATACATGATGAGTCGTAGGCTTTTGAGTGAGAAAAAAAAATACAAAAAAATATTAGGGAAGTCAAATCGGTCAATATTTAATTATCGCTTACTGTGACTTTTCCCAATTGAATACACAGTTACACGGTAAAATGTAGATAAAAGTTTGATCTTGAGCCTAGTTAAATTAAGGTCTGTTAACCCACAAAGCTGATTTTATCATGTTTATCAATGTAATACCTGTACACATAATTATCAATTCCATTGGAAATAATTTTTGGTACTAAAATTAGTTATCAAATAAAACACAAATGCACAATACACCCAAAATTACAAAAGGTTGTTTTAATTGGATCTATTTGACAAACTGCTGTGTACACATGTAGGTTATATAACTAGAGAAAGAGTGGGAACGGATGTTGTTGGTCATGATCGCTAGTCTTATATTATTTCATTTGTTGGTTGTTACCAGTATACTTACACTAAACTTACTACACAAGTTGACTTTCAGCAGTTTTGAATCTTTCATTATTTCTATATACCCACTTCACTCTTGAAGTGGGTATAGTGGTATTAATTTCTATGCATGTCAGATTTCATTGAATTAATGAATGAATGTAGATCAAGGCGATAACAGATGTTTTACAGTTAAGTATAGATGAAGACATGCTAATTACCATTTGCATGTTTTAGTTATAATAGATAAGTTTTTGATAAAAATGTCTACCTTGAAATAAGAAATAATATACATCTAAGTAACCGAGTACTTATTTTCAGTATTCGATACTTGGATGTTGGATCAAGTACCCGGTGAAGTTGACTACCCTAGAAATATATTATTTAAAAATATATCATAAAAGGTTATTTGAAGTCCTTGATTTCATTTATTGAAAGTCGGATACATTGTAAAATCAATTTTGTTAAATAAACATGAGATATTCTTAATTTTTTATTTTCAATTATACACTTTGTAGAAAATTCTGCCAAGAGACAGTTGTGAGGGGAATTGTGTAGATAATCTCCAGAAAAGAAATCAACACTGATATTGGGATGTATGTACCAATATTTTACAATCATCAAAGACAAATTTACCGCAGGAATAAAAAAAATTGTCTGGCGTTCAAGGACTTGCCATGGTGGAAGCTCTCCTGAAAAAATATTCCATTTATTGTGGACATCATGACATAGGGCTCACCTGTCATCAGCATTAGAGACTTATGTGATTTGTTCTACCTGGGCCATACATGTATTGAATGAAAACAATTCATAGAACCACAAGCACATTGTAAATCTATGTAAGGTCTTCTATGTATGTTGCATCCTTATTTAATTAGCTGTTTTATAACAAGACTTTGTTTCATTGGTACTAAAACTTAATACACACAAAAAACCAAAAAGCAGTTGTGATATTTATTGTTTTCTATTACTCATTAGTGCTCATTTTTGTGTGAAATTTTATAATTATCCATTTCTTGTTCCCCCAAACCATACCTTACAAATTTTATGTATTGCAACTTGCATTTCGATTTTCACTTGTTATACTTGACAAAAACTAGAGGTACTGTGAGCAATGAGCTCACTAAATGATACCCCCCTCCCATATGATTATAATGGAAAAGTCCATGTTTTGCTGTGGCCGGGAAACCCAAATTATGTGTCGGATCCAAAAGTAAAATAGAAGGTGCACAATGGCAATATGTTATAAAGATTCTGTGAAGGTTTCATTAAATTTCACTCAGAGGTATAAGAGGAGTTGCGGATAAGAGATGAGTACCTCAAAGCGTAACAGACGGACGGACAGACAGCTAGACGTACAGACAGACGGACGGACATACCGATTACAGTATACCCTCCCGCTGTTTAAGCGGGGGGTATAATAAATGTTAAAATGTTCATATTGCTATTGACGTCACTTATTCTCATGTCTCCGCCAATCGCAACTTCTCGGGCCTTTCCGACTAGGGAAAAACGACCTCGAATGTACAATGTACATGGAAGACGACATGACAACCCTCCTTTTTCACGATCTTTGAAATAAATGCATGGAGCTCTGTAGAATAAGGAGTTTAACTTTTTTCAATGTAATGATATTACCTAAAATATATTATAGAAGGGACTTCTAACTCCGTCTATCCCATATTTGAATAAACAGGAAATGTATAAATTTTTAACATCCGCTGATGTTAACATTCGAGCTTGTTTTTCCGACCTCTGACGGAAAGACCCGAGATGATGTGATTGATTTCTCCGCTTCAGTAGGATGACATATTGTTTATTCTTGTTCCTTGGTTTCAATACTACAATCCATCAAAATATTTATCACCCCCCCCCCTTTTAAAACAGATTATGCTTCAAATATGTGTCATTAAAGTTTTGAACAAAAGAACTTGCAATCATGCTTCCGCCTATCAGTACTCTCAGTTCTTTGATTTTTTTATTTATTTTCAAGTTTTGATGGAAACATTCAGTATATGTTTAAAAGTTTTCCTGGAAATTAAGTATTTTAATTCAAAATATTGGGAAAACATTCAGTTCAATGTTTCATTGTTTTTGTGCAAACATTCAGTATAAGGTTTCAAAATTTTGGAGAAACATTCAGTATGCTTCATTGTCTTTGTAAAAACATTCATTATAATTAATATTTCAAAGTTTTTGTCTTCAACATTCAGTATAATGTTTCAAAGTTTGTGTAGAAACATTCATTATGATACTAGTATTACAAGTTTTTGTAGAAACATTCAGTATAATGTTTCAAAGTTTATGTCAAAACATTCAGTATAATGTTTCAAGCTTTTCCTGGAAACATTCAGTTTACCCTTTCAAAGTTTATGTTGAAACATTCAGTTTAATGTGTCAAGTTTATTTTGGAAACATTCAGTATAATGTTTCAAGTTGTTGTGGAAACATTCAGTATAATGTTTTAAAGTTTTTGTAGAAACATTCAGTATATTGTTTCGAAGTTTATGTCTAAGTATTCAGCATAAAGTTTCAAGTTTGTTTTGGAAACATGCAATATAATGTTTCAAAGTTTTTGTGGAAATATTCAGTATTATGTTTCATAGCCATGTATTAGTGTTTGTGGAAACATTCAGTATAATGGTTCAAAGTTTATGTTGAAACAGTCAGTATAATGTCTAAATTTTGTTTTGGAAACATTCAGTAATGTTTCAAGTTTTGATGGAAACATGCAGTATGATGTTTCAAAGTTTTTGTGGAAACATTCAGTATAATGTTTCAAAGGTTTTGTTGAAACATTCAGTATAATGTTTCAAAGGTTTTGAAACATTCAGTATAATGTTTCAAGTTTTTTGTAGGAACATTCAGTAATGTTTCAAAGTTTTGTGGAAGCATTCAGTATAATGTTTCAAGTCTTTGTGTAAACAGTCAGTATAATATTTCAAAATTTTGTGGAAACATTCAGTATAATGTTTCAAGATTTTTGTGGGAACATTCAGTAATGTTTCAAAGTTTTGTGGATGCATTCAGTATAATGTTTCAAGTTTGGAAACATTCAGTTTAATGTTTCATAGTGTTTGTGGAAACATTCAGTATAATGTTTCAAGTTTGTTTTTGAAACATTCAATACAATGTTTCAAAGTTTTTATGGAAATATATTCAGTGTCATGTTTCAAAGTCATGTATTAGTGTTTGTGGTAACATTCAGTACGTTTCAAGGTTATTGTCGAAACATTCGGTATAATGTTTAAAGTTTGTTTCGGAAACATTCAGTATATGTTTCAAATTTTTTATGGAAACATTCAGTATAATGTTTCAAAGGTTTGGTGGAAACATTCAGTAAAATGTTTTATAGTCTTATATTAGTGTTTGTGGAAACATTCAGTATAATGTTTCAAATTTTATGTCGAAACATTTGGTATAATGTTTAAAGTTTGTTTCGGAGACATTCAGTATAATGTTTCAAATTTTTTATGGAAACATTCAGTATAATGTTTCAAAGGTTTTGTGGAAACATTCAGTATAATGTTTCAAAGGTTTTTGGAAACATTCAGTATAATGGTTCAAAGTTTTTGAAGAAACATTCTGCACATACCATTTTATACCTTTGTGGAAATATTCTATACAATGGTTTAATTGTTTAAAAACTAAATTGAAAATCATATCAGTAGAAACATTCTGTTTCATATTTCAATTTGAAGAGGAAAGAAGTTTCAGTATTATGAGAAACTTGAAATTGATATTTTAAGAATTCTTTTAATGCAGTAAATGTAGCATGTCATCAAGACTGTTCTGAGAATCTCAATGCAAAAATGTTTCTCATTTTGTTTGGGTTCCAGTATCTACATAGTCCTAGGCTTTAGTAGTGCATTACACTCATACACTATTTACCATGGTATTCTGTTACTTGTAGCAGTACATCGATGCAAAGGGCCAACCTGAACTATAAAGTGATCAACACCTAACTTCAGTACCAACCAAGGCACAAAATGGAGAGGCAATGTAGCTTACAAATTGCAGAGGGCGGAAATTGTGCATTATTGGAAAGTCATCCCAGCTGCAAAATTGTTCAACAAAAATCCTAAAGGAACAGATGCCACCAATGAGCTTATCACAGTGTCATGAAAAGTCTTGGCCCCAAAAATAAAAATGCTGAAACAGTGCTCTCAAATGGAATCTCAAATGCGGATATATGATCAAGCGATCAACAAGGTCATTCAAGAAATTTAGGTGCTCTGGACACGATGACAGCTGTCTTCATAGTAAACTGTTTGAAAGTTTGAAATATACACCACCAGGAAGGGCAAGCTACACACTCAATATGCTCAGGCTCCTCCTATGGATTCTATGTAGATATCTGTGTTGAATGGCAAATATCATTTTCTCCAACATATACTGCCAAGGAACGTCATATATAGAGTAGTCAGCACCTGCCATTTATCTACTGTGCAAAGTAAGATAAGGCAATGTATTACCTTCTTATGCAACATTTTGTAAATCTGGTCATGAGACCAGCAAATGGTTTATCAATTATTGCACAATGTATATCCTCTATAGTCTTCAACTCTGTATAATTCAGCTCAATTTTTATGAGGTCAGCACTTAGTTGCTTTTGTAAAATGTATTTTAGTTATTGAGTTGAGCCCAGTATTGATGTACTTATAATGTCTCCATAATCTGCTTACTAATGTCAATGAGTTCAGCATTAAAACCGGCCTGCATAGTCTTTGAGCTACATGTAATATGATGGCTACTCATTTAAATTGTATGTTAAATCTGCCAGCATAGACTTGAGTTAAGATACATAGTTCAGCGGATAGCTGCTCATGTAAATTTTATGTTAAAATCTGCTTGCATAGTCTTGAGTTGAGATACATGAGTTCCGCAGATAGCTGCTCATGTAAATTGTGCGTCAAAATCTGTTTGCACTGTCTTGAGTTAAGATACATAGTTCAGCGGATAGCTGCTCATGTAAATTGTATGCTAAAATCTGCTAGCATAGTCTTGAGTTAAGATACATGAGTTCAGCGAATTGCTGTTCATGTAAATTGCATGTTAAAATCTGGCTTGCATAGTCTTGAGTTAAGATACATGAGTTCAACGAATTGCTGCTCAGGTAAATTGAATGTTAAAATCTGCTTGCATAGTCTTAGGTTAAGATACATGAGTTCAGCGGATAGCTGCTCATGTAAATTGTATGTTAAAAATTCTGCCTGCATTGTCTTGAGGTTAGATTAAGACCTTCATAATTTTACATATATACTAAACATTCCTTGCAGTGATTTTGGCTTCCCTTGATCCACAATTGAACAGCTAACAGGTGAATGTTAATGTCTTTGTTGCATCAGTATTTGTTATTTGTCAAGAACACCTAGTCTTAAAAGTATTTGATATCATATGAACTTCAACTTCAATGTGGTTATATATATTTTTAAAAAAATACTTCAGAAAATGCTGTAAATGTCTGTATTTTACTGTTTTGATAAAATTGTTTTCCCCTTGTTTGGCGTCAACCCCTCACTGCTTGAGGGCTTGTGGCGCAATGGTTTGGAAGCCTCCAAGGATTTACTCATTTATGTTATATTTTATGCATATTTACATGTACAATGTACTCTGATATGTTCACTGCATGTAAATTTCAAGTCAGTCTCAGGG